GTTCAAGTGGGGATCTGCAAAATAATGGCGGGGCGGGGTGCCGGGGGGGGGGGGGGGATCTAACCCTCGGCGACCTCTGGTCTTGCGAAAGAGCAAGGTAAACTACAGGTAGACATTCCTACAGCGGAGCCTTGTGCCCCGTGTTCTTGTGCTCGCTCGGTTCCATTGCTTTATTCCGTCATGCCGTGTCTCAGTGGACGCACTCTCGATGGTGTGAAATATGTACAGTACATTCCAAAGTTGCGATGGCGTCAGGTCGCTGGATTCACAGTGTGGTTCAGAGACGATCACTCGCCCTGTACGGGAGCTCCTGCTTACTCTCCATGCAAGAGCCAATTGCTGGCAAGACCGGAAATGCTGTTAGCAGCAAATGTTTTGATGCAGTGTACAACTGTGGAATTAACTAATGAGTAACTATCACCAGCAGTCTGTGAAACTGATGACCAGTTGATCAGTGGAAAAGGTGGAGGGCTCGTGAAACTCTCCGGCAATGCTTTAGAACGTTGGGCAAATGGAGCTGTGCGTCTGACGCTACGGCCTGCAGTTTGGTTTCTCAAAGGAAGCAGAATTATGATCAGTTAGCCTGCCTCGCAGCGATACCACTTTACTGAAGAAGGCTGAAGGTCGACAGTCGTTACAGTAGCATCCTCCGGCCTTCGAATGACTTCAGACAGGTTACAAAAGCTGTGTCGTTTTAGTCTCTCGTTCACTACCTCAACCGCACCTCTGCTGCCAGTCTGACGCAAACAGGGATTAACTGCGACGTGAACGAGGAGGCATCTGTAATGCACCCAAGACATTGCTGCACTGCATACAAACTGGAAATCTTTCTCCTTCTTCACAAACATGAGGTATGACAACCTGAGCTCCTTTCAAACAAAACAGGCACAGACATTGCCTGGCTCCTCCATTCAGAGGAAGAGGAGGAGTTAAGAGGTACATTTGTCTAAACAGGTCCAATTATTTTTCAAGTTCAGGATTCTAAGGACTTCAATTCCTTGGTAGAGTGTCCAAAGGTTTTCTGTAGTGAGAGTTAAAAGTCAATGAGACAAAACAGACAGCTTTTAAGATCCTACTGTTGTGTCTCTGCTCTGGCGGGATCTTTTGAATATCCACTCGCTCTCAGTCTCGTGAGTAAATCGCAAAATGCCCCCAATAATTCATGAGGGCTCAGAGAAACTCTCCCATAAATACTAAAATCAGTAGATACGACAACAAAATCTCTTCAAATGTGTTTTCTTATAGCACCAAAGTGGGATCCTGTGACTAAACTGCACTTGTATATATGTGTATTACATTCCAGTTCTCTAATGCTGAGTATCTAAACTTTGATGTATGATGTCGGTCTCTGTCTGTCTGTGGCTGAAGGTTAGTTATCTACTTTCAACAGCATCTCAATTTGATACTCTATTTACATATTAAAAAAAACAACAATTTCAGGAAGTACTTTTACATTCAGGTCAACCTGGAATCACAGGTTTGAGTAAATCTAAAAGAGGCTGATTGTGAACTGACCATAATGGAGAGTCACAGAGATATTAGTAATGTAATGCAGACTGAAATCTTTCAGCAGGTGTTTGAGATTAAGTCTCAGTTGAAAACAATAAGGGGGGGAAACCAAGAGTACCTATGGAAATGGTTCATAGGTATCTTCCTTTTCATTTCAGGCCTACACTACAGTTGCGGAGACTGAATTTACTGATATCAAAAGGGGGACTGCTTCGAACTCCAATCTCCTTGCTCAGGGTGTGGATTAGGTATGAACTAAACTGTGCTGACCATAATGGAGAGTCACAGAGTATTAAGTAATGTAATGCAACTGAAATCTTTTCAGCAGGTGTTTGAGATTAAGTCTCAGTTGAAAACAATAAGGGGGGAAACCAAGAGTACCTATGGAAATGGTTCATAGGTATCTTCCTTTTCATTTCAGGCCTACACTACAGTTGCGGAGACTGAATTTACTGATATCAAAAGGGGGACTGCTTCGAACTCCAATCTCCTTGCTCAGGGTGTGGATTAGGTATGAACTAAACTGTGAGGGTTCTGCAATGGAAGCCAAAAATTTAACATAGAATCCAAAAGACCCTGGCTAAGAGAGAGGAAGTGAGGTTTGATCTCCTCCTCCTCTGAGTGCCCCAGGGCACGATACTCGGACCTAGACAACGTAACACAACTTTAAAAATACAGCAGAATTTCAGTCACAAAATATCAAATTTCTCCCCAAACAGATTATCTATCCACAGTTCCATCAGATCTTTTTTAATTTGTTTTGTAATCGTCCGTATTTTGTGTTTAAATATTTGGACATCGCTCCAACCCATCCCTTTCTCCCTCGTTTTCATTCAGTCACCTCTTCATTCTCTCTGGTTTCCTTCGCTTTCGTTGTTCCTCTCCCCAATCCTGTCCATCCCTAGCCCACCTTCTGAGGGTTGGTGGCACGGACGCCTTGCTCGTATGTGATTCGCTGGCTGATGAGATATTGGGCAGCCTGCGTTGCTGCCGGCGACCCTGTAATGGTCACCTTGCGATTGCGTGTGCCTGGAATGAACTCTCCCTTTTTGGAGATCTGAATTCGCGCACCTGTCAGCTCCTGATACTCCACGAGAGTCTTGCCTCCTTTTCCCAAGATGGCACCGACCAAGTTCTCCGGAACAGCGATCTCCACCACTTCCTTCCCACCTTCTGCTAGCTTCTCTGTGCCCAGTAGAGATGATGCCACCAGCGGGGATGAGGGATTCAGGTAACCGTTAGATGCCCCTGTGGCAGCCGCTAGGGAGCCCAGTGAGAAGCCCCCTAAGCTAGGTGCGACATGGTGACCGCCCCCTCCAGAGGCCTCGCTGGCGTATGTAGCAAGCAGATTGGCGGCTGCTGCAGCCGCTGGATTGGCGCTAGCCGCAACGGCAGCGAGCACCCCAGATGCAGCGGCTGGGTTGAGGCCAAGCCCCAGTGTATTGGTATTGTAGCCATAACTGGCCAGAGTGTTCAGAGCAGATGTAATAGTAAGCAGATCATTACCGGAAAGACTTGACATGGCGGCAGGGAACCCACCCATGCCCGCGAGACCCGCCTGGCCAAGGAGCGTGGAGGCTGTAGCTGCCGCTGCGGCGTTGGGTAACACCTCTGTAGAGTTGGCAAAGGGGGATCCGGTTGGGTTGGAGTTGGCCACAGGGCCTGTGATGTTGGAGTAACTGATATTGAGACAGCTGCTGCTCTGTGGGTCCTCCTGAATCTTCTGAACAATGATCTCCACGGCCTTGCGGTTTTGTTCTGGCTCCCCACTCACTGTCACGACACGCTCCTGCAGATTGATGCCCTCGGGCTTCTGAGAAAGCTGTACCCAGGCTCCTGACTGCTCCATCACAGCCTTAACTGTTGCCCCACCCTTACCGATGATGAGTCCTGCTGTGCTGTTGGGCACGATCAGTTTAGCCTGTGGAGGAGGGGGAGTGTCACTTTGATTGAGGAACAGAATTACATGCATGAGACTGCACACAACCCCAAAAATAGATACTGCAATAAGCTTAAGTGCGTCTGTGCTGGTTATGTAGATGTTTGTTTTCTGTCCACAATCATACAGTAAAAAATGGTTGTTATATATTTCATATTTTACAATATGAAACCCTGTATGCTTGTATATGTTTAAGAGTGTGTGTGTGTAATAGTGTGTGTGCGTGTGTGTCTGTGTAAGGTCTGGCTCTTAAGTCAGTGCTTATATCAGCCATTTGTTGATCCCCGGTCTTACATTGCAGCTGCTCTCTCTCACTCCCTCTCTGTTTCTCATTCTGCAAGGATCAAGCAGGTAAAAATAACCCACTGCTCTCACACTTTGCTGTCCCTCTCAGCCACACTTTCCCTGGGGAACAACCACCAGCCTGCCCTGCCCTCTGCCTCCTCTGGGCTTTTATTTGCCTGTCTTTAGTGTTGCTTATCACTGTCAGGTAGCTGACATGCTATATACATGCACTTTAGAAATTGATTTCAAGAAGACTAAAGCAATAATTCACCTTTCTAAAATGTCATTTAAACGCTCATGTACAGATGAAAACTGTAGCTTGTCTATGCAAAACTTAATTATACTCAATACTCAATTATATTCATGTAAATGTACTCACTGTCTATGCTGTCATTCTAATTCTGTCTGTCAAAGTCTAATATGATTAACTCTACATCATACATTTAATAACTAAAAACTTGTACAACTGTATGAATTTGGTGTGGTAGATCAACCTCACAAACTAACCTGTTTAACACGGTCAGGGTTAACAGTAGTCTGTGGCTGGAGAATGCTGACTGGTTCGGTCTTCTGACTGCTCTGAGGCATCTCACGAACTTTTTCAGCGATGAAGTTATGAACTCCATTCAGAGCTTCCACCGTACCTTGAATCAAACAAACACGCTCTGTCGTACCTGACCAAACACACACAAAAGAAAAAAAACAATGTTAGCATATAGAGTTTGCATGCAAAATTTCAAAATGTAAAATATGTAAACACATCAAATGAAATTATGTATAATGTATCAGCATATACTGTATGCATATTACACTACCTACAAACAAAGTTTGGGGTCTGTATGATTTTCCAATGTTTTTGAAAGAAGTCTCTTATGCTCACCAAGGCTGCATTTATTTGATGAAAAATAGAGTAAAATTAGAACAATTTAAAACAACTGTTTTCTATTTGAATATACTTTAAATTGTTACATTTTAAATTGTTAAAACTGTTACATTTTACATTTTCAGGAGCCATTACTCCAGTCTTCAGTGTCACACGATCCTTCAGAAATCATTCTAATATGCTGATTTGGTGCCCTTTCTTCTTATTATCAATTACATTTCTGAATATAGCAGACACTCCTATCCAAAGCAACTTGCAACTTAACAAAGCTGTATTCAAGGTGTACATTTTATCATTTCATGAATTTCCTGGAAGCTGAACCCATGACCTTGGAGCTGTAAGCACCATGCTCTATTGTTTGAGCTATATATTTAAGGTCATGCAAACACACATTACATTTTCAAAGAAGCTATTTTTCCTTTCTGTGTAACTCCATCTATTAGAAAGAATAAAAAGGGCTGTTGTAACACAGGGGGAAAAATTATGAACTTATGGCTGCATGATGTAATTCATTCTGAATGCACTGAATTCGGAACCTGTCCTCTCTATCCACATCCCTCCCATGGGACATGCCAAATAAACGTCCAGGACACACACACATAGGTTTACATTTGTGAAAAGTGGGGACATCCCATAGGCGTAATGGTTTTTATACTGTACAGACCGTATATTCTATTGCCCTTTACCAACCCTACCCCTAAACCTACCCCTTACAGGAGACTTTGTGCTATTTCAGATTTTCAATACACTCCATTCTGTGTGATTTATAAGCGTTTTGAAAAGTGGGGACATGGGGTAATGTCCTGAAAAGTCACCTTCTCCTTGTAATACCTATGTCATACCTTTGTCATTATACAAATTTATGTCCTCATTTGTCACAAAAACGCATACACACACACACTATCTACTAATCTTTGGCATATCACTGTCCTGAAGTGCTTGACCTGTCTGGAATACTGCTGTAACTGTGAGAACCCCAAGAACCCATGCTTGGCTGGACCTATTTTACCATGACCAGCAAAGTCTACAATTAATTGAAGCACACACATTGAAGCAACAAATTCTTCCCCAGTTTCAACATTTGCTCTTCAAGATGTCAAAGGCTTACGAATAAAACATGCTCCAATAAAGTACGCAGAAGAGTGTGTGTGTGTGTGCTAATTTCAGTCCTTCTCTTGTTCAGGAGGTGTGCTTTGTGGTAAAAGTCTGCAGTTAAATGAGTTTTAGGAAAAGACTGAATTATAATTTACATGTGTGACAGGCTACAGTGTGTGTGTGTGTGTGATAAAACACAAGCTGGCTGGAGTAAAATTGCTCAGCTGTAGGTGAATTCTTTTTATAGCTCTCTTGCGAGCAAGAGAGAGTTTAAATGTTTCCCTTTCAATGTCTCATAAGATAAATGAGGTCTGGAAGAGAAGCTGCTATTTTATCAGAGACCCGAATGATTGAGGATGTGCTGGTGTTTGTGCCAGAGCAGCACTGCTTGTTATACAAAGGCAAAATTCAGAATCAAATAATTAATTTCCTTTCAATTTATGAGTTGGAATTTGAATGTAATTAAACTGGTCACAACCACAAGAAGTTGAATTTGAAATGAAAGGAAGAGGAATTTATTAATGATCATTTTTATTTAAGAAGTTCCTCGCAGGTAAAGGAAATCATAAAATAAATTGTAACAAATTAAAAAAAAATTCAGGTGAAAAGAAAAAAGCTTTGTCAAGGCAACATGCAAACTTTGCTTTTTTTATCAGATTTATAACAGCTATATTAGTAGTATGGATTTTCTTGTAAAGAAGTTGATTTAAAATCAATTGAAATTAAAATTGCAATTTTGCATCCTGTTTGCTGAATTGCACCTCAATTCAAATTTAGGATTCATTTCAAATTCAGGAATTCAAATGGAACTTGAAGGTATTCTCAATTCTGAATAGTACACAACCCTGGTTGTACTATATATTACTTTGTGTGCTATTATGACGTTGTGCTCTAATGATAAACGCACTGAAAATAAATGTTCAATTTAATTGAAATCTGTAAAATATTTTTAAAATGGTAGAATGATGAAAGGTGAATTTGCAGGACAATAAAACTGCACAAGCAAATAAGAAGACAAGCGAGAATGTGTGTTTGTATGTGTTAGTAGGGTAAGTAAGGGTGAAAGGCAGAACAGGTGGTCTCAGGACAGTTTTAGTTGTAACGGGTGTGTTTAATGAATGAAAACATAACTATTCACAGACAAATTATGCTCACAATATTCAGCTGTACGCTTCACAGCTGCAACACACACACACACACACACACACACTTTCTCTCTCTCTTTCTCACATATTTTCTCTCCCTATGGGCACATTTTCCACTGTCATTCTCTGCCGATTTTATTTTTCACGCTACAACATAAAGCAGCTTCTTAATGGCACATGGTGGAAAAGATACTATAGTCAATGACACAAACAGGCCAACATCTGTAAACGGCCTCATTCACATTAATCTACCACGGTGTAGCTCTCCGTCAGACCTTCTGCATAATATTCAGAAAACGTACAAGCTTGTTGTTTTCTAGTATTCTAGATTTTCAGCTTGCAAAAATCTACTGGTGTTAAAAAAAAGTTTATCAGTGGGATTGAAGATTGCATAAAAAAATGCAGATGTAAAACTCATCCTTCATTCCTAAAAAATAAAGACTCCAGTTATGACCAAAAATATTGTTACAGATTGATGCCACAAAGAACCTCAAACATTTTTTTAATCTCTAAAAATCCAGTGCAAAATTGTTACTGATACTTTGAATGATCTTTTTTTCAAGAGTGTTTAGTGTGAAAGAGATTTATGCATGGCACCATTAACTCCGCCATCTGTTGCACAGTAAATAAAATGATTTAACTGTGAGGATTTATAACACAGATCTAATAACATAAATTATAAATAGATGAGGTAAAATTAACTGTTTCAATTAAAACAAACAAAAAACAATATGTGCTAAGCTCTGAAATAAGTAATGTTCATCATTATTTAAGCCAGATAGAAGGTTTGATTCATACCTGGGTAGAAGTCTTTAGATTTGGACAGTTTGATGGTGGCTCCAGTCTCTTTCTGAAGCTGGACGATGGTTTGCCCCCCTTTACCGATGATTGAACCAGCGGCATAGCTGGGAATCAACACCTTCAGGAAATATTCACCCTCCTCTGCACATGCACACAAAAAAACAAACACAAAGTTAGAGATGAAAGCGTCTCAATTCTAATATTTTTAACAAATCAGACAGATGTCATATGGTTTATTTCCACTGTGGAAGAATGCTAATTAATAGCATCGCAGAAAGGTCTGAAATGTACATGAATAATTATCATTTTATTTTACAGTCCTGTTCCACATGTACATACTAGGTACTTATTATAGTGATTACAATATCTGGGTACTAACCCTGAAACTACCCCTAAACCTAACCTTAATCCATGTAGCTACCTTACCCATTACTTTCTTAGGTAAGAACATTGTAAGTACACACACTGCAAAATAAAGTGCAACTAATACTGTTTAAATATACGTTAATATTTATTTTTGTTTTTATGTGCAATATGCAGTCATGTTTAATTCAGAGGATTTTTGGCAAAACTGTAGTAAGATTATATAACAGTTTGAAAACATTATAAAGCCAACCAGAGGCCACACGAGTGCACCATCATGACCTCACTACACCTTCTCATTTTGAAACAATATACAAACTAAACATGAAAAGTACCGTCTGGTTCTTTTGTTCACTTGCCTTTTTAATTTCTCTATATTTTTTTCTTCACTTTTTCTCACTCACTTTCTCTCCCTGATGAGTTCCTACTGATTCTGCCTCTGTCCCACTTTTTCCCCATGCAGAGATAAAGTGACCTGCTTTGGGTTGGTAGAGGTCTAAATTTAACCAAACTATCTCTGTGTGTTGTGTCCTTCACTATCTTCTTCGCCATCTCTCTCTCACACACACAAATGGTCAGCCAGCCGACAATCTGCTTAGATGCTCAGCATGGAGGTTCAGTGTCACAGTCAGAAGTTGAGGTTTAAGTGAGAGTGTGTGGCGGGTGGTGTGTAGCCAGTCTCTAGCGCTGCACTATACTGAGGCCGTGGGCTTGTGGGTAATTGCCTGGAAGGCTGTTCAGGCAGGAGCATATGGATGCTAAATCCTCAGATTTGTCCTGAAGAACCCAGCCAACAGCGCATAAGTCACTCAGAGGTTCCCGGGGGGGGGGGACAAGGCTTCCCTCTCCAACCACAATATTACACATCCTAAACACAACATACGGTCCAGAGTCCATTTCTAAAGCAAGGGAACAACCAGAAGGTGATTACAACACTTCAAAAAGATTTTTTTTACATGAGAGTTGTCAAACTCCCTCACCACTAAACATGCAAATATATTCCATCATGACATCCCAGTGACATCATACCGCTCAAGTCAGGTTGAACACCTGGTATTACCCCTCTAAATGTTACTGGTGGCATAGCTAAAACTAATCAATAACTGTTTTAATTTGATTGGCAGCTAAGACGGCATTTCTTATTTTCAGTACATTAGTGTATTATGTGACAAAATGGAAGTAGGTACAAAAGTACATTTTGTTTGTGTACTATAACGGTGTCTTTCAGAGACTGTAGTAAATCCAAGAGATAAGATGGGTTTCGCAGACTCAAATGCCCCCAATCTCCAGCAGCTGACCCTTTACCACTGCAGAGAGGAGGAGAGAGAGTCAGAGATACAAGGAGAGAGAGAGAGAGAGAGAGAGAGAGAGACTGCAAGATAAGCGCAAACACACTAATAATAAATGGAAAACATGCAAAGGATGAGAAAAATATAGAAGTAGAAGCTGGGATGAGAACGATTTGTTAGGAAGGAAGAAAGGAATATTCCACCGAAAGGAAAAGACTGTTGGAGGAAAACAGCGACTAGGAGGGGAGAGGACAGATGAGGAGAAGAGGAGAGGGGAGGGGCAGCAGGGAGAAGGTGAAAATATTATGGTCTCTAAGCAACTCTGATTGACTCTCCTGTGGGAACGTTTGATACATTCTAAATAACACCAAAGACCACTACATGCCGTATAATTCACCACTTTCACCTGTACACTAATACTGGCGTGAATCTTTCAGTAGTGAGCGACGTGTGCAGTTCCTCCAGAAATGCAGCACACACTCTCACAATCAGAAGGCCAGTCTGGTCAATACGTGATCAATTGTATTATCCAGACAATCCCATTAATACCAGAAAATCGGGGAAATCCAGAGAAACATAATTGTCAGCCCAGGCATATACAATCAAGCCAAGAGTGGGAGGGCCAGTTACTAGATGGCACCAGGATCAAAGCGAACATTAGCTTCAGTTGTAATACATTATCTAGTCAAACAGGAACAGAAAAAACAAGGGAGAAAGAGGAGAAAAAAAAGAAGGAAAGAAAGAAGCAAGCTCACACGCAGTATAACTCACTTAAGCGCAGCTGAACGTGCAATGCACAGTTAGAAAGATACCCGAGCAGAATTTAAATTGAAAAGACAATTCGAGAAAAACACAGAGCGACCCAATCAATCACGTTTCCATACATTCCTATAGAAATGCATGAAACTGTGGAAAAAGGAGAATAAAAACTGTATTCCCATCTCTGTTATACAGATCTAAAAGCTATCATCTGCAGCATTGCTATTCTTTTGTTCATCCCTCTTTTTTCTCTCTCCCTGACTGACTGGCTTTGCTCTGTGCTCAGTCACTCTAGAGAAAATCATTTGTTAAATGAATATGTGCAAATGTCAGAGGGTGAGAGATTTATTATTCTCTGCACTGGGACTGACCTGAGGGTTTCTCGACAAAACACGTGCAGCGTACGACAAATACTTCATCTTGTGACTACGTCATACACAAATGCTCACACAAGGACACTAGCTCCCTTTGTAGGGCCCTGAAGAGAGGCTAGTGGGTACAACTGATATCTGGACAGAGCCTTGCAGAGCAGTTCAATCTGTACCTGTCCTCTGCAGCGCTCCAGGTGCGCAGTGGGATATGCATTACATCATTGCCTCACCCGACTCAATGCTCCCTGCTACACACACACATGACTGACAGGTAATGATAGGATTCTAGTCCACGATGGTCTCTGCAGCCGAGCAAACACGAACACACACAGCTGGGCAGATCCCGATCTTATCAATGACCGGTCTGTTAAAGGGGAGGGTGCGAGTGTGAATGGAATGAATGCAGACACTGTTAAGAGGGACCGTTTAATAAGGGCAGTTTGCAGCGAACGGAGGAAGATGACAGGACGCAGTGGACACACGCTCAGGAATCCATGATGGAGTTTTTGAAGAGTGCAGCCGGAGGGGAGATAAGGAAAGAGGGAGCAAGTTTATAAGAACAGAAAAGAAAGAGAAAGGGCAATTAGAGCTCTTGCAATCAATGAAGTACGTCGCACCAGCGCACCACAGCGTCGCAGGAAAGCAAACCTCCGGCAGCTGTTTTTTACAGAGCGGCGGCGTGGGGACCGTTTGACCTTGGCCGACGAGGAACGAAAACTTCACTCTTTCCATCGCGGCCGCCTCACAATTGTTTCCAAGACGACTCAGAGGTGACATTCTGAAGGCGCAAAGATCCAACGAGAAGGTCGGCTGCCGCTTACCTGTTGTTAAAAGGAGAACCTAGGGCACATTCTCATGCAGCAGTGATTTGAGAATGGCGAGCGCTTTGGGAGCGCTCCTCACCCATGCGCTCCTGCTTGTGGCGATGATGTAAGGAAAGCTGGTGTAACAGGTTTTCAGCAGTGAGTGTCTGAGTAAATAATGCAATCTGTTGCTGATGTTTGCCAGTAAGCCATACTTACACAGCCGCTAACGCAGTCAGACAGTTATGGGCTCAAACCTATGATTATACACAGCACATAGAGTGTGAACAGAGTGTCATGCAAACACACAGAGGTAGTGGGTCAAGAGGGATTGTATTATTAAAAAGCCTCCACCCCCACCCCCATGCCACACACACACACACTCTGCATGTGAAAAGGAGGGCCTGTCCTAGGCACACTGCAATGACAAGCAAGCCTCTTCTTCTCACAGAATGAATGAAGAGACGCCAATGGAGGACGGGAAAAGAAAGGGTGAAAGAAGGAAAGACGCAAAGCAAAACGGTTAACTCGTCCGCACGCGCATTCAACAAGTCAACAAAAGGGGACAGAATCTCTTACCCATTCTGCAGTAGCGTGCTGGAGGTGGGGTTCAGATAGCCCTGGACGCCAAGAGGCTGGACCGGTGAGCGATGCCCGACTGCAGGCTGATCATAGGAGCTCTGCCGCCGTCAAGGAATGTGGCCAGTCAACCTTTTTCCCCAGGTTCGTATCCGAGAGGGGGACAACGTCAGCGCATCCTCCCCTCCATACCCGCAGTCAGCCCCCGTCTCTCTCTCTTGCTCTCTCTCCCTCAATTTCCCTCTCTCTCTCTCTCTCTGATTGTGTGTTATGGCAATGCAATTGCCGTGTGTGTGTGTGTGTGTGTGCGCGTGTGTGTATGTGTGTGAGTGAGTGTTTGAAGCGGAGAGGCTTGGTATTGTTCAGGCAGAGGCGGACTGACGGGGGGAATCTTCCTACTGCATCACCCTCTGCTTTCCTTCTCATCCATATTCAGCAAGAGCTCCAGCCCTGTGCTGCATTCTACAGAGAGGCACCTAGCGTGTCCAATCACCCCGCACCCCTCCCCAGCGTCGCACACACACACGCTCGCACATACACACCAAGGCTTTCTTTCTAGTCGCCCCCCCCCTCACCACTTTGACGCAGCACTATAAAAGACGTAGCGCCTCGCTCACGTTTGGGTGAAATATGAAAAGGTAGGATGGAGGGAGGCTGCGGAGGGAGAGAAAGAGAAAACAAAAGAGAATAAGTGAAAGAAAGTGCGAGGGAGTGACCTTGCGTGAACGGAGAGGAGGTATAGAGCGAAAGCGGGGAGGTGGTGGGCTCATTGGACGGCCATGTTGGAAACACAGCGAGAGAGAGATTTTTGAAAATGGTAGAAAGGATCTGCCGCAGAGCGCCAAGGGGCCGGCCAACTAAAATCTAGAAGACGCTATACCCAACCAGCGGGTGCGGGCGTACGTGGCAGGAGGAGGGCTATGAGCTTCGTCCCAGGGTCATACTTCATTTGCATAGTAGCTTTTTTCAGCTGAGCTTGATAAATTCTCTACATATCCATACTAGGTATATTGACGTGCTCTGGTGGGTGTCTCGGATGCAGCATGCAGAAGTATGGATGCTTCTGTTCAGGCAAACCGATCACGTTCAACACATCCACTGGACATTCTAGAATACATGAGCCTCTCTTTCTCTCTATCTAGCCCCTCCTTTCTCCACCACCTGCCCAATTCACAGTCAACTCACGTCACCACACACTGCAAGGGCACCTGTGTCCTTCTCTTGCTCGCTTTCGCTCTCTCTCGCTTGCACCTTTTGATCTAATATGGAACCACACAAAAAACACCAACATAAATAGCTCTGCCAAA